CACACCACCACCACCACCAATTTTAGACTGGCCATCAATGACGTTATAAATATCCTTGACAGAAAAAAAGGCTTCCCACCCTGCTTTAACAATTAAAAAAAAGGGGGGGGGGCGGGGGGGGTCAAGAATAAAGGATGATCTAACTCGCAGCAATCCGAGCCAGGAGCCTTTGCTGCAGTATGTCTACACCCAACCACCTTGCCCTTATCTGCCTAGTCCCAGTAGGATGTGAAAAGGTAAGATGAGCCAGGATCAGGGAGGAAACACACTCTAAGGTTTCTACAATACAAGAAAAGTTTAATGTCTATGGAACCAGTCCCAGAAGTAGGGACAAATATTCTTTTGAAAGAAACATTTATAAAAGGATCAGATGCAAGGCCATAAAGAAAATCTTATAAATGACAAAAGCAATCACACAGTCAGTACATTCTGGCCACAATACAGCAACACATTTTACCACCTCAGTGCTACCCACTCACCTCCCAAATCAAACCACGTGGAAATTTAAACACTCCTGAAGTCATTTAAACTGAACAATAAAAAAATACAGACATTTACAAATAAATGTAAATGAGGAAAATGAAAGGTCATCTTTAAATTCCAAATCAGAACAGGCAATGGATAGATACTTCTGCCAGGCTACCTTCCAGGGTAGGCCAACGGAACCCTCTAGCTTGCATAGGTCATCTCTGCTCCCCAGATGAAACCATAAATAATGAGGAATCAATGACCCTGAAGGTCATTAGTGCATCTCCCCATATAGACAATGTAGTATTTGTTTATCACAACTTGATAAAGATCCCATATGCTCAGACTCCACTGCACTAGAAAGTACTCTTCCAACTGATTTCCGGAATGTTTCCCACCCAAGGTAAAAAACAAACAAACAAACAAAAAAGTTTAAGTGCTCAATCCACTTAGCAGTTACGTTTCTCACTGTGTTACAGTTCTTTTTACTTTTTAGTATTCTCATTTTCCCCAAATGGCTTTCCTATCACCATCACCAAGCATCCACCTAGCAATTTTCATCAATAAACTGAAGAAAATGTACTCTCTAACCCCGCCTCCAAAGTGTTGGGACCCAAATAAATTTGAAATGTACAAACCACCAGTCAAGGGGAGATGTAAAACTAAACTTTAAGAGACAAACAATTTACTTTT